TGTTTGGCGGTATCTTAAGCGAGGCCTGTCGCAAAAAGTTCACCCACTGGTTGAGAGCATCCAGGGACTCAGCCGCAAAGTAAAAACTCTTGGCCGTGTGGTAAACCTTGAAGGCATGCGGCTTCGAGTGCACTTCCTTGGCCAAAGAGACCGTGAATCCGGGCAGAAAGATGACCAGACTGGCACTGGTGCTCTGTTTGCTGCTGAATCCATACAGAATCGTGTCTAGCATTACGAAATAGATTCTGGCCCAGTACGTCACGCCATGGTGATTCTTTTTGCGCCTGTACAGATGACCCTGGATGTCGCCCGTGCTAAGCAACTTGAGGTTTGTGTTCCTTCGCTTGGCCATCAGGCTGTGCTTCTTGCGTAGGGTCAAGGTGCGCGATTTGCTGGGCGTGTGCAGCTCACTGATCTCCGTGGGATCGATGGGCGTTGTGGGAATGGGTATGGGTATGGGAATGCTGGCCACACTACTGGCCGGCTGCATGCTGGCTGGTTTCGGAGGTGGCGGAGGCACCACTGGCACCACTGGCGTCGGTTTTCGCGGGCGCGGCGGAGGCGCCGGTGGCGTGACCAACAGGAACTCCTTCCTGGGTTCAATCGCCGGCGGCGTATCCGATTCCTCACCAGAATTGTCATACGCTGGCGTACTGTGACTCTTGTCCAAGCGACCACGACGACCAGCCTGCTGCAGGAGTGTCATATTTTTGGCCTCGGCCAGGGGCAAGTCTTGGTCACGGCTGGCCTGATTTATGGCCTCCAGCAGCTCCTCGGCATTCTCCGTCGTGCAGTTGCGCAGCGTTTCCAGGGCATCCTCGTCGCCCTCGTCGGCAAAGGGTATTGGCTCGAAGGTCTCCAGTATGGTGTTCTCCACATTGCACGTGAACTTCTCGTTCTTCACCACATAGTCCTCTTTGGAGTCGAAGCGCACCACCTTGCTCACGCCCGGCTTGTAGCGATCCACGAGGAATTCGCGCTGCGAACCCTCCGTCAGCTGCTTCAGTTTCCTCACCTCGTGGAACATCCGCTTGGTGTTGTCCATGGAGTTGTCCCCTGCCGCAAGGCCAATGCAAGTGGTGGGCCTAGGTGCTATCTCCAGGCCATAACCAAAGGATTTCGACTTGTCGCGAATGCTGGGCGACCCAGAATCAGAGATGACCGAGGAGCCGACGCCTGGCTTTCTTTCGTGCCAAGAGGGCACGACCAGATCCGAGTGTTTCAGGCTCAAGAACTCTTCACCGCAGATCGTGTTCCTGCGCTGGAGCAGGGCCCTCGGTTTGGGGTAATACAAGCGGATCTCACGGGCCGCCGACTTGGGATCAGTGGGCGTGGGTATATCACTGCAGCTGGAGTCGGAATCGGAAGCCGATGACACTGGATTGACACTGGACTTGATGCTCATCACCTCTCCTCGCTTCTCGCTGCTTAGGGATTTAGTTGGATCTGACACAGTGCTTCCTATTCCGACTCCTATTCCCAATCCCATTCCTCCCGTTGCCATTGGCTCTGTGTCCAGAGTTAAGAAAGCAGTCCTGGGGCTCGGCATCTGCTCCGCCCAGCGAGCGGCCATGTTCCTCTTCTTGCTGGGCAATCGGTACGGCTGCATGTAGATCTGGCCAAACATCTTGGTGTGCTTGGGTCGCTTCTTCACCGTGAGCACCACGTCGGGCAGGGCCTCCCTTAAATGCTCCAGCACAGTGCGATGTTGCCAACCGACGACAGTTTGATAGTTGATCTGCACAATCTCGTCGCCATCCTCAATCTTTCCGGAATTGTGGGCCGGCGAGTTGTACTTGATGTCCGTGACGCGGTGTATGCCATTGTAGCTGGACTCTATGTTAAAACCCAGTTCCGATTCGCGTTTCTTGAGCGTAACCAAGTTCAGGGAGGCGGGCTGCAGCACCATGGGATCGGAAATGTCCTGGATCACGAAATTGGCCAGATTCTCCAGTCGCTCTGCCGTCTGGCGAATCGCCGGCACAGGCTGGAGGGCAAAGCGATCCCTGTGAGCAATGGTGGCCAGTTCCAGGCCGCATTTGAGCACATTGCCGCAGTACTCGCGGTACATCTCCTGCTTCCTAAACGGCGTTCGCTCCAGACTGCCCACCAGTGGTTTAAGGGTGGCTATTGTCCTGGTTATGTCGTGCAGTATCCGTGTATCGATCTTGGTGCTTTCCGCATGATTCCTGGCCAGTTCGCGATGCAGATTCCCCGCGGCAGTGGCCACATGCAGGGCCATAAACTGCAGATTGTCGTTTTTTAGATGATAGTGCTGAAATTTTAAAGGTTATCAAAGGGGGGTTATCATTAAAAATTAGCACGTCATCGGGGGGCACTCACAAAGTTCCTCAGGTTCTCCACTGCCTCTAGCACGATCTCCTGGTGGCCAATGCGCAGCATGCCCAGATTCTCCAACTCATATGGCCGTATGTTGAGCAGGGCCCTGCCGCCGATCTCCTGCTTGGAGAACTCGTACAAATATCCCTTCATGGACTCATCCAGACCTGGATTAAAAAAAACGGGAAAACCATAAATTACACATGCTTGGTGAAACCAAAAACCTTGAACAAAGCGGAAATTCTAGTTGTTATACCCTTGTCAGAGGGTACTATAATTTCAGTGAGATGTTTGTAATGCATCTAAGGAGACTTTTCTGACCCTATTAAGTGTATATATTCTTGATCAGCAACACTAAAAGAGTCGATATATCCTTACTTCACAAACTTATCTCTCTTCTTTCTACTGCAGGTGGTATATAAGTCGGATCGGAAGACTGTATCATACAGCTCGCAAAGGAACAATCGTCTAAAAATTCAGCGGAAACTCTCCACAGCATAATTGTTTCCATACACATGTACATATGTTAGGAAATATTTAATATTTCCAACAGCTGCAAGGGTATCTTAACTTCGGCTGGCCGAAGGTTGCTTTTTTTCTGGTTGTGTTTGTTGTTGCTTTTTGGGGCAGTGGCTACGAGATGCACTTTTTTCTCAGCTGCGTTTTCCTTTTGACCTCGAAATGGGTTACCTTTGATCCAGTCGGTGACCTGGTCGGGCGTCCATTCGGCGATGTTGATGTAGGCCATCGCACTGCGCTGGTGATGATCTGATGATCCTCGCTGGCCGCACCTACGGCATTATCATTAAATCTGTGCTGTGCTGAAAAACACGAACAACGAAGTCTTTTCGGATATTGTTGCGTCCTCTGGTGTGACCGTACTAAGTGTTTAGCTAAATCTCAAATAATGGCAGACCAGCTGGTTGGGCACCTTGCTTATTTATTTAGTGGAGACTCGACCCGAAGGGGGACCATCTGTTGATTTAACCGGTTTGACCGGTTCTTTGCCCTAAATAAATTTAGAAATTTTAGTTAATTTATTATCCGAATAGGTTAAACTTCTTCAAAATATATCTGAGATTTAACTAAACCACAATTTTTAGAACCAACTGTTTCATAAGTTTAAGTGTATAGAAATTATTACAATTAAAATTGTAAATTGTTAACAATGGCAACAATCTTTACCAGAAAAATTAATGGTTTCAAATACATAATCCTCTTGGCCGGTGATGCCATTACCATACAAATCTTTTTAAATGGTTTATTCTAAAATCTAAAATTATTCCCTAAAAATTCCTTAAAACTTAAAGCATATAATTTATTTATTATAGCCTACAAAATGATTAAAACAGAGTTCAATAGATTTGTTTTAAAATTTTGTTAGTGGCCTATGTACTGTTACTCAAAACAGCCGCACAGCTTTTTGCCGTTCACACTTTGGAATTCTAAGCCATTCACCTCGCTATCCATAAGTCACGGCAAACAGTGCTTTGCAACACTTAAACAGCTCAAACAGCTGAGCGCATTGGAAAATCGAATTGATTTGCACCAAAACATTCGAATAAATGCCTCAATGACAGCATCAAATGGAGATAAAAAGCCAATTTACGATCCGCAGCTCCAATGCCTTTCCCATTCAATAATTGCCCTGTGTCAGCTGGCTGTTAACACTCGAGGAATTCTATATGTATACTACGCGCACACGTTTTTTCAACGCAACGCTTTCAGAACCGAATCAGTCACTTGCTGGGAGAGGGAGAGGCACGACGAAATAATCACCGCGTGTTATTTTCTAATCGCTGCAATTGTTGGCCAACTGCAATCAAAATCAAAATTCCCTGACCGAAATGTCCCAGACGAAACAAATCAAGTTCTACAACCCATCGAGTTCCGCTAGCTCCGACAGGTAACGAACGACTTTTTAATGCCATTAAAAGGCAATAATTAACGCACGGCGAAAAGTAAAGTGTGAAAATCCAACAAAAGTCATTAGAATGTGATACACACACACACAGCGGCATGTGCTCCAATAGTCAGCCATTCATCATCCATCGTGGGGCCTCTAAAACTAAACACGCAATATAAATAAATGCTAGAAAAATGGCATAGGGTCTGCGTTCGCTAACACCACCGTATATAACATGTGATAAACTCAATTTCGATATAGTCGCCGGTTGCATTGGATCGGGAGAGAGAGCGAGACAGAGAGAGTGAGAAAGTTGGCGGGCGAAAGAGCGGGACAGCGTAGCGAACCCCCCGCGAGAACAGTTACAAGCTAGAGATGTACGCGTGAGCAAGTCTTCTTCAGTCCAATTTGTCACGAAGCGAAATTTTTACTCACAGACTCGGGAAGTTTATATTAAATCGTTGGGAATAGTAGGGTGAATTAAGAGTTAACTATTTTATACTATGAATAGATGATGCCATATAAAATTATAAAGTTTTCATAAAACTGCATTTAGTTCGAATATCCAAAACTTTTACTTTCCAATATACATTTTTCATAGCTCAAAAAATTATACATACAGTTGTTCTTAAAAAGAAAACATTAATTTATTTTCATTGTTTTATCTAAAACTCACGACACGCGCCCATCTCTGAGTGAAGACAGGCGACAACAACAACAACCGTGCTGTGACGACGCCGGCAGAGGCGAAAGCAGCGCAGCTTTTTAACCTTAGCGCTGCCTTAACACTTTTTATTTTCATTCAATCCCCAAACGCCGCTCACCTCACACCGCCACTGAATTACTTTGTTTTATAAGTTATCGAGTAAAGATAGGCCGCAACGCAAAAGGCGGACCATCCTCGCTGTGAAGGAAATAAAAGCTTTGAATCACATGCGAATCCGCGCCGCCGACGATTCGCGTGAGCGTATTTTTGTGAAGTGAGTGACCCATTTTGCGGAATAGCCTCGCCGGCTGAGGTTCTTAGTTCTCACGCCCACAGAAGCGGGATAACATGAGCAGCATTACGTTTTTGTGCAGCAAGTCGGCCCACAACAGCAACAATAATAATAACAGCATCAAGAGCAGTAGTGATGTGCCAAAATCAGCATTTGCAGCCGCATCCGCCGGTTTACTAACCATCGCTAACCACCAGCAACAACAACAGCAGCAGCAACATCAACAACAACAACAGCATCATCAGCAGTCAAAGGTTAAGGCTACAGCAGCCAAAACCAATGGTCACATGTAATTCATTGCATTTTTCCCATATTTAACGTAACAAAAAACCAAACCAATCGAAATCGAAATCCCATTTAAAAACATATACATTTGTGCATGAGTATCTGTGTGTGAGTGCGTTGTTTTTGTTGTCTCATTTACCGCCATTCTAAATGTTTTGGTGTTGTTTGTCCAGTACACTCTCTCCCTCTCGTTTTTTGCCTCGTCTCTGTTTTCAGTGTTTAATTAACGTTCGCGTTTTGTGTGTTAACATTGTTTATCGAGTCTGCGGTGCGGCATATAACAACAAATAATAAAGAAAAGACGATAGCGTCAGCAAGTGCGCTCTCAAAATGTCCAACATGGCTGCGATCACAGAAGCCACGTCTATCGGTTTGTTTGCCAAATCCAGTTCTTCTTCATTCCTTTTTATCCTTCATCCATTCATCTCCCCCTTGAATGCCTGCTGTCCTTGTCCTACCTGGATGACCATAACCTGTTGTTCCTTTTCGGCCAGAGCGCAGCACACGTGGCAAACGCGGCGCTCTCTTCCTTTCCTCTCTCTCTTCTTGGTGTGCAAAAACTACAAAAAACTATAAATATGTTGAGGAATCTCTGACTCTGGCGTCACTAGATTATTGGCCCTGCACTGAGAAAAAATCTTGTATAATATATTTACAAGCCTGTTTAGGTATTACGTCTAGTTCTATTTTAAAAAAATAGTTCAGTTGATATTCTCCAACACAATAATCTTAGAAATTATTGTATTGTATATTCGTTTTTAATATATAAAAACAGTTTTCTGAACCGTTTTGTTCAAATTCAAATCGGTCTTTAAACAAATTTTTTAATTTTGATATGTGAATAATATTAAATAGATATGCATTTAATATTTGTTTTAATAAGACAACTTATTAGACTAAAACAATGAGTAAATTCCTTTTTTAAAAAAAAACACAGGCTTAAAAAACTAATTCTTCACTTTGAATGTTGTTATTTTAAAAGTTATAAATACTGAATTCAAAATAATGATCAAATTAATCAACATACCACATCCATTTTTTCCCCGTGTGCTCTATATTTCTTTTTGGCACAGTAATAAAAACCAGGGAATACAGAGAAAGGCGGAAAGAGAGTGCAATGAACGGGCCTACGCATCCAAAAGATGGACCGTCTGGCAATTCTTTGTATGCCTGCCCCTGGGTACCTCCCAGAAATATATATAAATTGTTTTTGTATTTGGCACAATGTAGTAGTATTATTTTAATGGCCTAATATGGCCGGAAAAACTTTTCGGTTACTCACGTCAGCATTCTGCAGCGCACATGGCGGAAATATCCAAACGTAACATATGCATATACAAATATTAATGATATGGCACATTATTGAAACTAGGGTCTCTCACGTTTCTGATTTTACATCTGAAAATTATAATATTTTCCGTAACTTTTGTGAACTGATCTTGTATTTCATCAATATTTTCTAAACTTAAAAACTTATTACTTATGGCCCACTGATAATCATTTCGTATTTCATAAAAAAGGCGAAACTGCCATATCAAATTACTGCATTTTCATGCAATACTTTCTCCAGACCCACGTTTCTGATTACCTGTTATCAATCATTCATACAACAATTAAACTTATAGTTTTAGCTATGTTATTATCTATTACACTCAATTAAGGCCTTAAGTAACTGGGTCTATTTATAGAACTTATTGAACAGTTGATTAATTTCTGCGTAGGCGATATGTCTGGTATCAGGCGCTTGTGTGGGTTAAGAAAAGAGAAGAGCGGGGGAGGGGTTCCTAAAAGTAGAGTAGGTCAGTGAGTATACTGCATCCTTGAACTCACAGCTTTAAGCTTGCGTTGCAATACACCTGCCCTGTAGAAATTTCACTAACAAAATCAGTACTCCGTATTTCTGTACCGTCCAAAATATTTTAAATTATTGTGAAGTTAATCAGTGACCGGTGATAAAAGCGTTATCGCGGCTTGGCTAATCACAGAATTCCATTTATTTTAGTTGAACTCAACGTCATTGTTTGGTGGGAGATTAAAATTCGGTAATTGCCAACTAATCTAGGTACATACACTCATTGCAGCGATGACCGTTCTGATGTCACTGAGCCACTCTACGTGGATCCATATGCCGAGCTGGGTAATGGCCTTCCCGGAGATCTCAACTGTTGCCCGGCCTCGCCCACCACAGTACCTGCGAAACCCTCGCTAGAGTCGCCTCTGAAACGCTCCGGCAGGAGGCAACGCACCACATCTATTGGCAACCAGACCACCACCGCGAATCCGTCCGAATGCATCATACGCGCAAACAATCGCACGATCTACACGGCCGGACGTCCGCCGTGGTACAATTGTGCTGGACAGCAGGTAGAGCCCTTTGTCATAGGTGAGATTAGAAATGTAATTAAACTTATTACTGTAGCTTCTAATACCTTGCATCTTCTTCAGGAATCTGCGGAGGAAGTGCTTCTGGCAAGACCACAGTTGCTGAGAAAATAATCGAGAGCCTGGATGTTCCCTGGGTGACTCTATTATCCATGGACTGTTTCTACAAGGTAGAACAAACATTGAGTTTAAAGGCATAGCGAAACTTATTAAAGTATTTAATCTATAGATTTTAAATGAGAAACAGCATGAGCAGGCACTGATCAACGAATACAACTTTGATCACCCTGATGCCTTCGACATCGAACTGCTGCTAGATGTGCTGACCAAACTGAAGGAGGGCCGCAAGGTTGAGGTTCCTGTCTACAATTTTGTGACACATGGCCGTGAGAGCCAAACGAAGACCATGTATGGGGCCAACGTGATCATCTTCGAGGGCATTCTCACTTTCCACAGCCCAGAGGTGCTTAAACTGTTGGATATGAAGATCTTTGTGGACACAGATCCTGATATTCGCTTGGCCAGGAGGTTAAAAAGGTAACTGGATGGATCTACCTATGCCTTACTTGATTTTAACAGGAAATGACAATTGCAGGGACATCTCACAGCGCGGACGCGACCTTAGGGGCGTACTTAAGCAATATCTGAATATGGTGAAGCCCTCGTATTGCAATTACATAGCTCCAACCATGGCCCATGCGGACATTATTGTGCCTCGTGGAGGCGAAAACAAGGTGGCCATCCATCTCATCGTGCAGCACGTGCACACACAACTTCAGCTGGTAAGGCTTACGGAAAGATACTTATAAACTAATCTAAAAATTCGTTCAATCTTCTTTCAGCGCGGATTTAAACTGCGCGAAACTCTAGCCAACTCCTACAAGGACCAGCCCATGCCACATTCTCTGCACCTGCTGCATCCCACGCCACAGATTAAGGGCCTGCACACATTTATCCGATGCCGGAATACATCCCGCGATGAGTTCATCTTCTACTCGAAGCGCCTCATCCGGCTGGTCATCGAGTTTGCGCTGAGCCTGTTTCCCTTCAAAACAACCACCGTGGAAACGCCACAGGGTGTTCTTTATGAGGGCAAGCGCATGGAGTCGCGGAAAATCTGTGGTGTTTCCATTCTCCGAGCTGGCGAAACCATGGAGCAGGCGGTGTGCGATGTGTGCAAGGACATTCGCATCGGGAAGATCCTCATCCAGACAAATCTGAAGACCGGCGAGCCGGAGCTTTACTACCTGAGGCTGCCCAAAGACATAAAAGACTACAAGGTGATACTAATGGACGCCACCGTGGCCACTGGAGCGGCGGCCATGATGGCCATTCGGGTGCTGCTGGATCACGACGTGCCCGAGGACAACATTATCCTGGCCTCGCTGCTGATGGCCGAGATCGGTGTGCACTCCATTGCCTATGCCTTTCCTAAGGTGAGAAAAGCATTGGTGTCTTAAAAAGGTGTTCTTTGACCTTCGTTTTATGCAGGTGAAAATTGTTACTTCCGCTCTGGATCCGGAGATTAATAGTAAGTTTTATGTTATACCCGGCATTGGTAACTTTGGCGATCGCTACTTTGGCACGGAACCCTCTGATGAATACTAAGGAGATCCGGGTCAACCCACATCCACACTACACACTATTGGAACTATCATGTTTCTAATGTACCCTAGGTTAAGTTCAAAAGCGTTACTTAAATTATGAATTCGGAACGAGATGCTGTTTTATTGGAGTAGAAACCGCACAAGCAGCTGTGTAAGAAAGGCTAGACTTCCCACCGCCAGGGCAATGCCCACATAGCGTTGGATCAGTTTTTCCCGACTTCTGGTTAGGATCTGCACCTCCTCCATTCCCTCCTGCTTATTTGCACATCTAGTCCAGTCCCGTTCGTCGTCCAAAATCTCGCCCACCATGCTGAACTTGCTGGCGCTGGTGATTCGCACATGGACACGAGTGCCCAGGAGATTTTCGCGCATGGGCAACAACACCTGCTCGTAGCTCTTGTTGTGGCCCACATAATGAAGCTTGTCGTGGGAAACTTCCGTGACCAGAACGGTGTATATTTCACCCGTCCTATTTGCATAAGGTTCATAGCTGTAGAAGAGATCCGTGAGCCGTTTAGTTCGCTTCTTCACCAGATTCGCCGGTATGCGCTCCATTTTGGCAGCAGGTGTGCCTGGACGAGGGAAGAACTGATTGATGAACAGACTGGGGAACTGGTACTTGGCGCACAGGGTCATTGTCTCCTCGAAATCGGTTTCGGTCTCTGTGGGAAATCCGCAGATAATGTCTGTGGCGATGGTGACGCCAGGAACTCGTTCCCTTAGGAAGTCCACCACGTGCTCGAAGTCTTGGCGGCAGTACTCCCGCTTCATCTCGCCTAGGACAGAGTCGCTACCACTCTGTAAATAGATGCAAGAAGAGATTAGACTTAGAGGTACACAGAAATCTATAATTAAATGCTTACCTGCACGGGAACATGCAAAAAAGAATACACCCTAGGGTGTTGCAGCACCTTGGCCACTTCTTCTAGGTGCTCCAGGATGTAGGGGGGATTGGTCATGCCCACGCGCAGCATGCAGTGCTCGGGTATCACTTCCACCAGCTGCCAGAGCAGTTCCGGCAGCGAGCTGCCTATATCGCGACCATAGGCTCCAGTATCCTCGGACGTAAGCCAGATCTCGCAGCAGCCTTCGGCAAAGGATTGGCGGGCGCGCTCCACCACCTCCTCGGGTGGATAGCTGGCCAGATCGCCGCGGGCGTGCTTGGTCTTGCAATAGGTGCACTGATTCAAGCAGCCAGAGTTGATGGATATGATCTCGATCAGTGGATTCTTGCGGACCTTGGGCAGCGAGAGAGGAGCTCCGGCCAGACGACGGCCATGGACCTTCTTCTTGTTTTGCAACAGCTGCACACTGTGTCCCTTTAGTGTTTCCTCCACGACCTCAACCACGCGATCAATTTGCTGAACACCGATTATGGAAAGACCGTTGAGGTAGTCGGATTTGGGGGCTCCCTGTGGCACGCAGCCGGCAACCACAACATGCTTGCCATTTCGCATGCCCGACTCGATCTCGTTGCGAAACGTGTCTTCCGAGGGATTCTTCACTGTGCAGCTGTTGAGCAGCCACAGATCCGCCTCCTCCTTGCCGCTCAATCTGTAGCCATAGGCGGCCAGTTGCCCGGCCATGTACTCCGAGTCCGAGTTGTTGTGGGCACAGCCCCATGTCTTGACGAACACCTTTTGGGTGCCGGGAATGACACTCTCGTGAATTGTGGGCTTTGGTCTCTCCACCTCCTCATCAGTCTCTAGCCGGATTGGCGTGCGTTTCTTGGCGCGCACTGTCACGTTTTTCTTGTTTTCATAACGCTCCCGCGGCTTCACGTCATCGGCGGCTATCAGGTCCTCAATGTCATCCACGTCGTTGCCCGGCAGATCCTGTCCAATGTGGTACATCTTTGGTTTTGAAGGCGATTCCCAATTCCGAGACACATGTGCAACACGCTCAGCTGTTTACATTTGTGCTGCTTCTTCATAAGTTCTGCAGTGTTGGAAAATGCGGGCTGGGTACTCGATAGGTGGAATCGATAACAGTCTCGGCTATAACGACAAAAATAAAATAAAATTGAACTACCTATAATTTTAATAAAATTTGTTTCAAAATTTATTAATAAAATACGTATTTTGCTACATAAGTATTATTTATAGTTCGCATCCTTTACTTAAAAAATTTAACAAGTTCTTTGGTTTTATAGTATACATTTTTTAGAAAAAAAAAACAATTGAAAAAATAGAGCCATAATCATATCATAAATAGAGATTTTTAATATGTAAAGGAAATATGGCTCCAAATATAGTTAATTTAATTTTCTATTTCTGTAACTGTTGTCTCATTTTACCAATGTGAAAATAAAAAAGTTTAAAATGTTAAACGTTGCCATTTATTTAATGTTCATGAGCTCCTTTACTTTTATTTCTTTTCATATATTTAATCAAAATCAGAGACCGCCAAAAGTTATTGTTCGCGTTTTTTTTTAATCAAGAACTCAATCACTTAAAGTCGACAAACAAAAAAACAAAAACGCCATAATGAGCTTCTTCGGTTTTTCTATTCATTTAACAAACTTTTTTAATTTTTAAATATACCTGTTAATAATGAATGGGATTTTTAAGCAACAACAAGCGGTGTGGCATTTCCAATATGCCCGAGCTTTTGCGGCGCGTGCACCCTACTGTGTAGACACACAGTTATCAGTGCGCTATCAGCGGGGGAACGTTTTCAGTTTCAATCTGCTCCAGACCGCCGCCAAAGCAGCTTGTAAAAGCACAATCCCTCGCTAGCCATGATTACGATTAAATGTAAAGACACGGATCTGGATCCCCTACCGATCAAGGTGAGACCATGACCTCTTTAAAATTAAGATTAATATTTTTCAATGACGAACTAAAAAAAAACCCCAAATAGATTGGGATTATTGGCGGTTCGGGACTAGACGATCCGGACATCTTGGAACAGCGCCAGGAGCGAGTGGTGGAGACACCATATGGTGAACCCTCGGATGCCCTGATCGAGGGCGAGATCAATGGCGTGCCGTGTGTGCTCCTGGCGCGACATGGGCGCAAGCACGACATCATGCCCTCCAATGTCAACTACCGGGCCAACATTTGGGCCCTGCGGGACGTGGGCTGCACCCACTTGATTGTGTCCACCGCCTGTGGCTCCCTGCGCGAGGAAATCAAGCCGGGAAACTTGGTGGTGCCGCACGACTTTATCGACAGGACCACCAAACGGCTGCAGACATTCTACGACGGCAAGGCCCAGAGTCCACGTGGTGTTTGCCACCTGCCCATGTTTCCGGCCTTCAGTGAACGCACCCGCAACATTCTGCTCGAGGCGGCCAAGGAGCTGGAGATTCCCACTCACCAGAAGGCCACCATTGTCACGATTGAGGGACCGCGGTTCTCCTCGCGTTCCGAGAGCCAAATGTTCCGCCAGTGGGGCGGTGACCTCATTAACATGACCACGTGCCCAGAGGTGGTGCTGGCCAAGGAGGCGGGTCTGCTCTACGGATCAGTGGCCATTGCCACCGACTACGACTGCTGGCGCATGGGATGTGAGGGTGTCAATGTGCAGGATGTCCTGCGAACCTTTGCCGAGAACGTGATTAAGGTGAAGAAGATCCTGGTCAACGCAGTGGGTCGAATTGCCAAGGAGGACTGGTCCGAGGACATACTTAATGCCAAGGTGCGTGGTTGTATAAATACACAAAAATCAGATTCATCATTTATATTCCCTTACAGCAATGCGTTTGCAACAACACCATGTCGGGAGCCATGTGACGTTTTATAAAACTATGCCATGAAATAACCGAAGAGACGCTGATCCGCCGCAAGTTGTATGTACCACCGTTCTACCAACAGTTTCACAGAAAGCGTGGACCCAAAGTTCACTCCATATCCATTAAATACGAGCTCGATGCCGAGGACAAGAGGCACCCGGTTAAAATTCCATTCAAATGTGAGACTGTAACGTCAGCCACAGCGTCGCAGTAAAAAAAATATACATATGTAACTAACAAACATTTCCTTAACCAAATGCAAACTATTTCTAAACAACTGTGTGAAAATTGGGACATTTAAAAGTTCACATTTATATTAATTACATAGAGTTGCGTCTTTAAAATTAAAATTGGAATTCGATGGCGCGCCCTGCCTTTACGGACACTTGCGCTCCACTTGGCTTTTACCGGCCTCTTCGTACTCCTGTGACGATATCCACATCTGCTGGAAGGTGCCTATGCTGGCCAGAATGGAGCCGCCGATCCAGGCTCCGAATCTTCGCTCCACGCTGCCGTTGGCGGAAATCATTTTCAGGCGCGTGTTAGAGGGAGCACGCAGCTGCAGGTCGCGATTCAGTCGCTCAGGGAAACCTTGGAGTAGAGTATTGCCACCTGAGAAGACAAATTTGTATGTTTAGTTGTGGGAAAAACTTCTTAGGATGAATGTATAAACCTACCAGTAACTACCACCGACCCAAACAGCGAAAGACGCACATCCGCATCGCACATGCCCACGCTGGTGGACGCCAGTTGGCCAGCTCCCAGCATGGCATTATCGAACAGACTCTCAGCTATTTTGAAGCGCTCTGAGCCAAAGTCCTGGTGATAGCCATTGGGGAACTCATAGTGCACCGTTGGTATCTGGGCAGCCACTCGTTCGTCGAAGGGATTTTCGAGGACCTGCAGCACGTTCATTTGAAAATCCTGCATCATCAGCTGCTGCATGTAGTTCTGCCACGACTGCGTGAGATTCTCAGGCAGCTTGCGCAGAGTAAAGCGTCCGTTGTCGCGCTCCTTGACCACATCCTTCGAGGCGATCTTGTACACCGGCGACAAATCGATGCCGTGCTTCTCCAGATGTTGTCGGCATTGCCTAGAGAGGAAGTCGCCACCTAGTGGTGACTTGACCACCGCCTGCGACAGGACATAGCCTTCGTGGACGGGCACGGCCGAGGTGTGGGTGGCTCCGCTGTCCACGACCAATGCTGTGGCCCTACCACTGGAAAAGGCGGCCAGGACAGCGTTTTTCACCAAAAAGAAGGCCGGAACGTTGTACTTCTCGAACATCAACTCGGTCAGCTTCTCTCGGTTGTTGCGCACATTCCATGATGCCTCGGAAAAAAGCACCGGGTGGTATTCCGGCTCCGACTGGATGACATTGGCGTAGGCGTAATCTATCACCTTCTCAAACAAGTCCCAATTGTCAATCATTCCGTCCTTCATGTAGGTCTGCACTTCCATCTGGGATCGTGGCACATTCACGTAATTGGTGTCCACATAGAACTTGCGCTGGTCAGCATCTGGAGGGGATTACTTTTTGTTTAAGGGATTAACTATAAAATTTTAAACGGATGATCTTACTATTTGGCGTGGCATTGTTGTCCGTCTTGGTCTCAGGATCGAGATTGGTCTCCGGAGCTGCTCCGATTCCCACCACCGAGGGAATCTCCGCCTTGGGCGAATCCTCCTGCGCGTAGCCCACTCGCAGGGAGTGGTGACCGGGATCAAAGACCAGGGCGCCGATCTCATCGCCGCCATACAACATGGTGCCGCCACTCATTTTGGCGCCTTTAAAATGCTTTTCTTTGCTATTTGTTCAAGATATTCGCTAAAATCTTTCAGTCTGTGTATATTTTGCGGCTTTTTTCACGACGCTTCTTCCCCGCTGGAGATGGCCTAGTAAGCTATCGATTGTTCTTATCGATGTTTCTGTGAATCAGTGCTGCCAGCTTATCCCATTTCCAACTAGATCTGGCTATACATCTCATCTTGCTTATAAAAATAAATCCAAAATTCTAGCATAATTTACCTTATTTTCTTGCTTTTTTAAATTTATTTTAATTTGTTATACTTGTATAAAAACATCTAATTATACATCAAATAAGATGTGATACTCAATTTAATTGGTTACAAGTCAGCAACTAAATATGTATTGAATAAAAGATAAATTTAGTTTTACTTTAAAATGTTAATAGTCTTAAAATTATTTAATTCATTAAATCATTTAAAAATCTTTGGTTTCTTGTGTTTTTTCCCATTTCGATATAAGCATTTCTTTTCAGTTTTAAACACATCTTATATAGAATGTAGCTATGGGGAAGCTTAAATATTGGCCACACTGCTCCAAGTCGCCGCGTCTGACTGTTATCGATAGTTGCTGTTTAAGAAAGTGCCATATCTGGTAGTTTGGCTTGGAATTGTAAATAAAACATTATTAAATGTAATTCCGTTTTAATAATTAATTAAATAACGTAAAATAGAGGTAAAGGCAAACCATTGTTTTGAAAAAAGTATTTACCTAAGAGCGGCTAACAGCGACCTGCAAGAACCCGTTTTATTTATTTGTATCCTTTTTACAGTGTCTAAAATGAGCACCGACAGCGCCGAGGAAACGTTGACCCATGCCAACATCCCTCAAATGGAGATCAACATATCCAACACGAACTCTTCCGCCCAGATAGTATTGAACGACCTGCTGCTCATGGATCTGCTCTGCAGATATCCATTCCTGCTGAGCCAGCAGGAGGATGCCCAAAAGGACGAGGATTATGACTCCTGGGGCTGGGATCAGTTGGCCGCCGCCTTCAACGAAAGCTACGAGGGCGTTCAGCTAAGTGCTCCGTTCTCCGTGAGCGAGCTGCAGTGGCGGTGGAACAAACTGTGTCCAGTTGTGGGAGCACTGGCCAGGGCCAAAGGTCAGATACCGGATCCTCTGTGGCGGGCGGTGGGCGACGTTCACAAGTGCATGCAGGCGACGAAGCAGACGGACGTGCCCAAGACCAAGTGCCAGGAGTTGCTGCTTAGCCAGTCTCAATTTCTGAAATCTCTCACGCATTTGGAACGCCGTCGATTGGAGGTGGAAGTACTGGATCTCATCCTGGGGCAAGAGCGTCTGGAAAAGGCCACCCACAAGCTTGGCCCCAAGGAGCAGGAGGCAGCTCAGAGCGAATACGATGAGTTCCTCAGTGCAATCAGGGTCAAGGAGCTACCGGCGGACACTTTACTGCGCCTGGCAATGGACGGATTTTATATTTCCCGGCTGCCACCAACCAAGATCCTTAATGGCAATCAATGTGATTTGGTCATCAGCAACGTTTCTAGTGCCCAGGATAAAATCAAAAGAGAAAAAGTTGAAGCTGCGAAAACTCCTGAAAAACCCCGCTACGTGCCTTTGAAAAGCGCCAAGTACTATATTAAAAAATTACGCGTCCGGGTGAAGCGAATGGATTTGGATGACCACCTGCCCCTGGCCAACATGCGGCGGTCCAGCCGTTCTGCGCTTAATAACTGACTTTGATTCGTATCAAATGCACATAAGTTTATTAAAAAATACATTACTATAAATTACAACTTAAGGCTATTGTATAATCCGAATCGCATTTTATAATTCGCGTTTGCTTTGCATTCTCGAAAAAGGACTAACAACTGAAAAAGTAAGGAGAGGGGAGCGGGAGTCTAGAGAATCTAAGGAGCGGGTTAACCAGGACTGGAGTTGTACTATACGCATTGTCTAGGAGCCGCCGGGTTCGTTCGTTCGTTTGTTGCTTATCAGTAATCAGTTATAATTTATCCCTTACATTACACAATCGTCAACAGTCACAAAAGAACGCAATTCAACAGGTCTATACGAAATACAGTCATTGGTGGAAAGCGCAGCACTTAACAACAAACAAACAATGTGGGTGAAAAACTAACAATCGAGTATAGCTGCTGCTGCTTCCGCTTCCTCAAAACAATTGGTCCGCCAGGTTGCCAATAAACGTGGCCAGATTCATGGAAGATCCCTCCTTGAATTTCAGTCCAATCGTCTTTCCGTAGGCTTGTATGAAGATGGCGCGCACTGCATTCAGGCGTTGCTTTCGTCTGCAATGGATAAATGAAATTGTAAATTGGATAATGAATAATTGTTATAAACATTCTCTGCAGAGATTAGTTAAAAAATTCCTTGGTATTAGGCAAAATATTCTAGACTGCAATGCTTTTCATAACATCTGCAGAGATTAATTAAAATATATCTTATTTTTGACTGCAATGCTATTTACATTCTGCGCAGGAATGGAAATTATTTCTTAGTTATCGGCAAAACATTATTGACTGAAAACAATTTATATTCTCCACAGAGATCAACTCAAATATTTCTTAGTTTTCAACTATTTAAGTTCTCATCAGGAATTAATATAAATATTTCTTAGTCTTAGCATAAATATTCTTGACTCAAGATGGGTTCTCGACTCACAAGTTGATGCATTGCTTGCTGGCCATAGTGCTGCCGCCCACGTCTTTGGAGGAACCGTTTGCGAAACCGTGCGTCGAGCTGCCGTTGCTGATGCTGCTCCCACTTCCGCTGCCGCTTCCACTGCCGCTCGATGCTGCGTTGGTGCTGCAGTGGTAGCCATTACCACCATTATACAGAGGAATGTTCGAGGAGCCGCCACCGCCGTCCGCCGCCTGTTGGGCCACAAACCGCATCATGTAGCTGCCATTCATCATGGAGTCAATGGAGCCCGTATCCGTGACCACCTGCCAGCTACCGTTCGAGGACGTGGACTCCTGTCTTTGCCGCGCATTCGAGCCGGGCACTGAAATGGGGCTGGTTCTGGATCTAAAAAGGATTAAATTAAAGTCAGTAAGGTCTTTATTGTATCTTAAGGAGCTCTTACCTCTTCGGATTGGGTGACCTGCTGGTCAGCGGATTGACTTGCGCTGGTGTGGTGGCATAGAAGTTATCTGTTATGGACATATCACAGTTGGAACAGTTTGAGTAGCTGTCGTTGCTATCTTGATCGAAGGCCAGAATGTAGTCTCTGCAGGGGAAAATCGTTCATCAGATTTTCAAAATCTAATACAATTTCTAGATATACACTTACTCCTTGAGCGGTTCATCATCGCAGCAGTCGGATTTGATCACTATAACACTACTGCCGCTGCTGCTCGATGTCTTGGTGCGTTTCCGATGCTCCACAATGCTGTACTCCTCGTCCGTGATGAACTTGAGCACATGAAAGCAGAAGAACATGATGTCCTCGCCGCGTTTCAGGCGATCGGGCAGTTGGTGGCCAAACAGGTACCAGTCGTAGGCCAGTGTAAAGTACGCCATCTGCATGGCATTCAGCGACTGGTGTATGAGTCCATCTGCCCACAGGGACAGCCTGACCAGGGAGACAAACAGCGGAGTGCGATCCCAACCGCTGATGCAGTGAATCAACAGGCCGGAGCTCTCCTCCTGCACATATTTCAGTATGGCTCGCAAGTAATTCTGGGTGATGGCCACCAAATCCCAATCCCGGTACTCCGGCCACACCACATCGATATCCGCAGCGGGTCCCAGATTGGGTATATTGATATTCGCATCGTTGAAAGACTGCTTCCAGTTGTAGTGCAGGTTGCGCGCCATGTAGTTGTTGTCCCGGAACTTTTTGAAGAACTCACAGCCCGGGTACGGCAGGGATAGAAGGTTAAAGCTCTTGTAGTGCTTGTTTGGATCCGCTTTCTCCGATGAAGAAACGCTAAAAGCAAGAAACATGGTCAGTAATTCAGGATTTGGAATGCAGTTTCTCAAGGGGTTATTACCCCCAGTTGCAGGAAAAAAAATAGGGAGCCTTTTTTACCGAAACTAAATTACTGGTTTATATTATCTAAAAGTACATATATATTTAATACACTTTATTGATTTTTTTATTTTCAAATATTGGAAAATTATGTAAAAAATATATTAAGTACATTTTCTTTTTCTGATGTTGCTAAGCGGTCACCAAAACTGTAGAGAACTGGGTTACTTAAACAAAAAAGTCAAAAGATTTAGATTACTAGCACCATTAACTATTTTTTAAAGGATTAAAAAAATAATAATAAATAAATAAAATTATATTAACAATTAAACTTAAAAAGAGCAATTTTTTGGTTGTATTTAAAAAGTATTTTTCATAAAGAAAAACAAACAAACGATTTTAGGTAAACCTGACAAATTTCAAAAAGACTGGTTCAGCAGTTAAGTTACTTGGTAACCGATATAAAAATTCCATTTCAAGAAAAACGATTTTTGTCTTTGTCAATTTTGTTCGGCTTAACTTCAAGTTATAAGGACGTTTTATTACAAAATTAAGTAGTAACAATACTTCGAACAAATATAAATTTTTTTTTTTTAATTAGCAATTTCGGATAACCTTTCAAAATATGCAGTAACTTACGCCATGAAGTATTTGATCTTGCGGTTCTCCACCATGAGGTCCACAATGGTGGAGACGTTGAGCGTGTGGAGCAGCTGGATGTCACTCTTGATGACCTCGTCGTAGCTGAACTGCGACTGCGCCTGGTCGTGCATGTGGGTGATCAGCGACTCGTCCGTGGAGTCCGCATCGTTCTCGTCCCCGTTTGGCGTCGTATAATTGCCGCCACTGAGGCAGTCGTAGGCGTAGTCCACCACCTTCCGGCCGTAGGTTTCCGGCATTACGGACAGAGTGGCCGAACGGCAGATGTACTTTCCGCGGTACATAATTACGGGCACGGCAAATCTTTGACGGCATCTCGCGTACTTGGCCATCGTAACCAATTCCCGCATCCGCTGTATATCGTACTGGTCCTCATAGATGGTATTTTGCGGCTGCTGCTGTGAATTCTGCTGCTGTTGCTGCTGCTGCAGCGGATGTGGCTGCTGGGAAAGATATTGCTGAGGCAGTGGATGATGTGGCTGCTGCATGGGAAATTGCTGCATGAGGGGATGTGTCTGCTGTTGCGTCTGCACAGGATTGGCAAAGGTCACGAAGGCCTGGATGCCCGCACCCTCGCTTCCGGTGCTCCCTGCACTGCTGTTTAGAGGCGTGGCCGTAGCCGTGGTTCCGGAGGAGCCTCCTCCTCCTCCACCCAATCCGCCGCCAACTGGCCCGAACAGGCCATTTCCCGGCACCAGCGTCTTGGCCATGTGTCCATGCTCGCACTCCGGGATGAGTATTCGGCCAGGATAACGCGGACTGAGCAGTCCATTTGTGTTGTCCAGCTCGATAAGGCTGTAGTCGAGTTTGAATAGGTATTCACATTTCTTGGAGATATCATACTCCTGAAAGAAGATAAACGTGGAGGATATCCATTAACATGAGGCTAAATACATATATAAGAGAAAGATCTGAGAGAACACATTTGCAAAACAGAACCGTATTTAAGCAAAAACATTTTTTTAAAACATTCTCTCTAAATACTCTGTTTAATATTTATTTATTTATTTATTTATACAATGCTAACTAATAGTTAAAACTAGGAGTTAACAGAAATTGTGGTTAGAGCTATAGCTGCAAGAGGCCTTCAGCTCTGAGGGTGGTTTAGTATTTTATACTAGCATTATTTAATTATTTATTTTATATTATTATTCTACTTATGGTTTTATATATATATATACATTTTCTGATGAACTTATATGCCTTAGGAATAGTTTATATTGTGTAGATTATATTTGATTTTTCTAAGAAAGTGAGGATCATTAGGGAATTAACTTTGGTGGGATTGGCTAAGGCCTGGGTTGGGTTTAGATTGGGGAATGATGAGGATCGTTGTGTCGAGAGAGAAGGGCAAAGGGAAAGGATATGGTTAACGTCTAGAAGAGCGTTGTTGCACAGTGGGCATGTGTTCGGTATTGAACGGTCAATATAGTGTGCGTTTGTTATCTTTGTGTGGCCAAGTCGCAAGCGGGTGATTACGATTTGTTGTCTCCTATTAAGTTCGGGGAAGTTATGTGGGAAGTTAGGTGGTGATAATTTAGATATGTATTGGTACCATGTCGAGGTTTTGTTTAATAATTCTGTGTGTCTGTGTTTTAATGATTTTTTGAGGTTCTGTGTGATGTCTCTGGAGTTGTAATTGTCTGTGTATATGAGGGGTTGTCTGATTGCTTTTTTTGCTTCAGAGTCCGCTGTTTCATTTCCTTTGATGCCAACATGGCTTGGTATCCATATTAATGTTATTTTGGGAAAGTGTTTGGAAAGTAGGTTACGGATAGTGGTGGGGTAGTAGGAATTGTTGTTAGGGTTTGCGATGGAGGTGATGGAGGAAAGTGAGTCTGAACATATGGCGTGCTTGCCTCTTTTTTTAATACAGATTTGTGCGGCTTTGTAGATGGCTATTATTTCGCTGGAAAGGACTGTAGAATATGCAGGTAGTAGGCCTGTTTTGATTACATTATTTTCATCGGTAATACTATACGCGATGTTGTCTTCTGCCTTCGATCCATCGGTGTAAATAAAGTTGTGGTTCGGGTATGTGGATTTTAGGGACTGGAAGAGTTGTTGAAAGACTATTGGGGGGGTGGAGTTTTTGTTTTGTTTGGTTAGTTCGGTGTTGATCGACTTTTGTATTGCAACTAGGTCAAAATTTTTGCAGGTGTTCTTTTTTATTGGGTGGAATGGGATGTTTTGGTTTTTGCAGATTTGGATTGTTCTATCTATTGTGCTAGGGTATCTGTGTTTCTTTTTATTTGTTTTTAAAAGTTTGATAAGTGGGGTATCTTTGGAGTGTAATAGATTTTTAAAGAGGTTGCCGGTAAGGAAGTCTCGTTTGTGCTCTATAGTATTAACGTTGGCTTCTATTAGTAAGTTATGTGTGGGTGTGGATCGGAATGCTCCAAGTGCTGCTCTTATTGCAGCGTTTAATGGAGTTTTTAGTTTATTTAGATGGGACTTAGGTGAGTACCCATAAATGGGTAAACAGTAGTCAATTTTTGAAACTATTAAAGATTTTAGAACTTGAATTAGTGTTGTGGTGTTGGTGTTGTATCTCATTGAGGAGAGGTGTTTAATAATATTTTTATAAATATTTAAAGCTGACTCAATATAAATATATGACTTAATGCAACTTTTCAAAATTTCTCAATTCGTCTTAGTCTTAATTTACATTTTAATCATTGTTATGGATTTTCCCCAACAAATTAATTATTTGTTATGGTGAGCAAACAAAAACGGGATGTTTGTAATCAAGCTTAACCTTAAATATATAAATTTATTTAAAAATCATCTTGAAACTGTTTTGTAAGAAAAAGTCCAAAGATAAATAAGCCTTGTATTCCTCAAACGCTATATAGTCTGATCACTTTCCGAATAATTTTAATAGATTATAATATTACGTATACGTACTAGATAACCGGATTTTTATCTGTCACTCTAACCTGCCATTCAGGGGATAGATACCTAGTTACGGGGTTTGTCCGATCTTAGATCTGATCCCCTTAACAATGACCTCAGACTGGCGATACCCATTGACTTTGGGTTTGGTTATCCATCTTAAAGTATTTGACGGGGCGGTGTGTAAACTCAATTGCTTGAATAAATCAGCGATGCCGGCGTCGAGTCTTAATGGCCAGTGAGATTAGAACGCGGAGTGCAACTGGTTTTCATGCGTTCACGATGTGTGTATATTTATATACATATACTATATAGACATTCCTAACCCGAGTTCAATGGAACTTGCACGCTCCCGGGAAGGAGAACTGGAATCTGGAATCGGTCGACTTTGGCTGGCTATCTGTATCTGCCACACTGAAGGGTTGAATGCGATAAGCGATGGGGAATATTGCCCAGTTACAGCACCAATTAGCCACCGAGATAATTGTATAATAAACATTATTGGTGGCTAATGCACAAACAACAAAAAGTTATGGACAAAGTTCTATATTAATGAATTTATATAATTTGATGTTATAATGTTTCTAAATTAATAAAAAGTAATAAAGCAACAAATTATACAACTCGAGTTTTTTATTTTTTTTAACTAATAACCAGTGTGTTAGCATTAAAATATATTGATAAATGTAAACCTTATTTATTTTCTGTGTGATAATCGGGAAAAAAAATTCTAAAGGTTGTACAGGCGAATGGCTAAAAATAGAAAAAATGGCTAGCAAAGGGGGCGGTGACGACGGTGGGCATGGCCCCCAGCCAGCTGTCCCAGACAATCAACTACTACTAGATAAAAGCATAATAATAATAACAACCACTCGTACAAAAGCACAAACACCTTGAGGAAACAGGTTTTTAGCTCACAAAGAGAAATGGGCAAATAACAAAACTAACTATAAAGCAAAAAGAAAAAAAAAGACAAAGACAAAAGCCCTGCAAAAATTTGCAACAACAAAAGCGAAGCAACGAGCAAAACAAACCCGACGAAAACTAAGTAGAGCGTACACATGTGTGTGTATGGGAGAAAACTACAACGTAAGCAGAGTGCGAAGCAAACGAGCAAAACAACTAAAACGCAATTACAATTACTAACGAAAAGCCGACCGGGGAGCACGCAAAAACAAATGACTGTTTATGGCTTTTTGTTTTGTACTTTTTAAGCACTTGAAATTGCATAAGCAAAACAGCCAAAATTATATAAAATGTTAAGTTTAGACTCAAAGTGCTGCTCTCGCTGCCTTTTATTTACTGAATATTTGCCTAGCTTTTCGCAGTTTGTTCAAGTGTTTGGTTAGCAGTGTTGCGCACCTGACCATTTCCTATAATACAACATGACTTATTACATTAATTTTTTAGTTATAACATTAATTATTCAAATTCAAATGTATTTGCATTTTAAAGTTACCACCAGGATGACAATTAAATATCTAATCAGAATTAACGTGTGTATGAATGATAATCTCTAAAGCCAATGTTTTATTTTTATCCTTGTAAATTCTAAATTCTATAAAAACGTACAGGTATTATAAAAGGCAACAGTACGTATGAGTGATAATAGTTTTTCAATTTAATTTCGTTCATCCGCATAATAAACTAGTTTATTACATAAATCAATTTAATTTTTTTTTTATATCACTGTGAGTCTAGGCTTTACGCTTTTTTTAGCTATTTTAATTTTTACTTCTGGCAGCACTGAGATGCGAGTGGGACCGTGTGTATAAGATGGGGATGCCGAAAAAAAAAAAATTCATCGATGACGGGAGTGTGTGTGTGAGTTAGCTCCAAGTTGGAGAGGCTGCCGTTACAAAGCAATCACACAGGCACACAGAGCACAACAAAGCGGTTACTGTTTTTGTTGTACGTACTGAACTGCTTGCTCACTGCTTCTGTTGCCGTTGTTTCGTTGTTGCTGTCGTCGTTTTTGTTGTTTTATTTGTAAGCGAGTAAATGCAACTGTAACTGCAGCCGCGTTGCTTGAAAAACTGAGCGCCTGTTCCAAAGGCGCTGTAAAACTTAAAAACAACAAACAGACGCGCGCTCAAATAGTTACAGCGTGAAAAATAGTTGGCGAGCGTTGTCGCTGTGATCATTAAGCGTCATCATCATCATTGTCATTATTGTTTTCATCATCAGTTGACCCAAATAATGAAATCCAAACCGAAGGCTGGCTTTCGAGCCAAGCTCGCCTCAGAAACCCGGATTTTAAAGACTCTGCCGATGCTGGGCCACCAGAAAAATCCAGCAGAAGCTGCGACTGCGACACACTTTTCTTCTCTCACAAAAAAAAGAAATAAGAAACAACAAGCGGAAAATAAAGCAGAAAAGCTGAACCATAACACACAACACAACGTTAAGAAACCGCACAGCTGAAAATAATCGTACTCGTATACTCGTGCAATCGAACCGAGAAAACCACCAACCGAACCAAACCAATTCGACCGAGCACAGGGAAACAGCAAAAGAAAAGCGCGGAGAGGTCGGCGTTTCAATACAGTGACACTTCTTTAGCCCCGACTTCTTACAGTCCAAGTTTTCTTTACAAAATTAAAATTGGTGGAGCTAAGGCGACTGAATATAGTCGCTAACGTCAAAACTTAAACCACTTCTCAGTTTTTCAAAACAGTATAACTTATAATTTTTAACAAAAATATACCTTGAGAAAAAAAGAAAAAATGTATTCCCTTATAAAATTTAAATAATTCTTTAAACACGTATAATGTAATATTAATCTATGTAAATCATTAAAACAATTTTGGTTTAAACCTGGAATTACCAACAATTTGATAACTTGTTTAGTATGTACTTTACTTTTCCAAAACTTAAAAAAAATGTTCAGCCTATTTTTTCGTAATTCCAATTTTTTTGTTACCTAAAGACAAGTCTTAATTTATGATAA